ATTATTTAATTTGTATATATATATTGTAGTTTATTATAGCTTGCTTTTGAATTTTTCAATTTTGGACGTATTTTCAAGTAAATATTTTTTGTTTTTTTTTTTTTTTTTTGGTAGTTGATGCAAGTAGAAAACACAGTTCGAAAATATACATATGCATACCTAATATTTAATATATATTCATGCATATTAGTATATATATACTGGGGTCTGCTTGGCTGTTAGTCGATCCAGTATTTGGGTTACTTTTACTCTTCTTCTTCAACTTCTTGAACTCAATATTTAGTCATTCGGTTTTGAATTTTGGTATCTAAGTGTAAATCGCTTGTTGTCGGTTGTAGTTAAATATTTTTTGTTTTTTTTTTCATATTTTTTTTTTTATTGTTTGTAAATTGCAATTTATCTCAGACTCAGTTTGGAGTGTCTTGGATGTCTTGGTTGTTGGATGGATGGATACGTTTACGTACAAACGTTTCGTCAGCCGGTTTGCTGTTGTTTATCATTCCATATACATATTTCACTTTATTTTTGTTAATATATAGATTTATCTTAAACATAAAATTGAATATTTAACGCAATTATTGCTTCATTTTCATTTTGTTATTTTCACGTTTTTCACAATCTGTTGGACTAACGCAAGCCTTTCATTCTGTATCAGTGTTTGGTTAATGGTTCACAAACATAGTCGCACAACCTTCAACATTGATCGATATATGTAGATATATGTATATTTATAAAACTAATAATACTTAAATATTGCACATCGATTAGCAAATTAAGAGAGAGAATAGAAATAAACAAAACCGAAATGTGTATAGCAAAATGAAGTTTATTTAAATATACATATAAATGGAAAAAATTATAAATACATCACATCAAATAATACAATTAACATATATGCCAAGCTTCTTGTTCTCGAAAACAAGATACAAGATTAATTCATTAAGTGTTTAATTCCTTAATCTTGAATCGCCTCTCTTGCAGCATACATGGAATATGTTATTATATACTAATATTGTATTGGTTTCCTGTCGGTACATATATATGTATGTATATATATAGATAAATGCGCTAAATAAAATGTGAGCTCAATCAAAGGGGAGATATACATATCTATATATATAGAGATAGAGAAAAAGTATTGCATGTCTGGTAAAACTTACAGCATAAATATTTATATACAACTGATTTCATATATTTTTAATACAGTCCATAACAATAAAAATAAGCTCATAGTAGTATTAACCAAGTCACATTGATATATAGATCAAGATATAAAAATATATAAAGTAAAGTTTCGTACATACAAAAAACAATTTAACTAAACTAGGCAATCAATTAATCAACCGGTACAAAAATATACGTACATATATATATATATTAAAAAATATAAATATATAGTTTCAGAATCRAATTCTTGCTTTATCAAAAAGCAACAAAGATCAATTAACTATGGAGAACGCAACCAATTGAATTGAAAAATAATAATCGTCATTAGGAAACATTCACGCAGACACGAACGAACATAATTATAAGCTACGATATTAAACTAAGTGTCTATAGATCCAAAGTTTTTGTGGTATTGCACTTGGTTAATGCAACTACGCAAACGCTTTGTTTTGCTTAGTTAATCCATTAAGAGCGAGTCGAGCAGCTGGCTGAAGAACGGCTCGACCACTTATCTAATTTTGTTTTTTTTTTTTTTTTTTCTTTTCTTTCAATTGCTAGTTAGAGTCGCCGTAGACACCGTCGTATAACTCTACATATCAAAGCGTCCGATTAGGTGTGCTGTGTGTGGGGGGGTTTGTGTGTATAACTGCGGCATATGGTGCAATCGATAGTTAAGTTAAGCTAGCGTGGTGTATGGATTGGTTAATGCTCCGCATTGTTTCGTTGCTGGACGATCTAGAAACGTTGGCGACCTTAGAAGGCCGTCGAACGTCGATTCGCATAACACTTCTTGCCGTGCCTGTTCGCATCGGCAGCGCTGCTGGTTGCACGCAATCTGTGGCAGGTTGTAGGAGTTGCAGTCGTTGTTGTTGCTGCCCCTGCAGTCGTATTCACTCCTTTGCTAACCAACGTCGATTGCCTGCAATTAGTCCAACGCTGCAGCTGATGCGAACATTTCGGATACAATCATTTGCGCGCTGACACATTTAGCGATTCGCCACGGCTCTTCGATCGCGTCATTGAGCTGCTCATAGAGGTGCTCATCTCTGCAAAATAGTAAGGGTGAGTCAACGCCGCCTATATTGTATATCGCCTTGCTGCCCACCTTTGCTAATGCTGTTGCTCTTCTCGGCCGCCTTGTAGGCGCGCATTGCCCTGCCCCGCTTGTCCAGAAGCAATTTGTCGGCACGCACGAAGATGCCATGCTTCGGCTTGCACTGGAAGTACTGTATACCCTGCACGGTGCCATCATTCTTGCCCGTGGGCGTGTCCAGCTCAACGCCGATCCAGGCGCCTGGCTGGAAGTGTGTGGTGCCCACAAAGCTAATCACGCCGCTGGTATTATACGGACGTATAAGCACCGATTCACCCACCACAATCCATTCAGGTAGCGTCACATCCGCATCCTTGCCTTCATCTATTAACAGAACGGAATAATAAAAGAACGCGTCCGTATTTTGCTTTCATTTCTATGATACACACCTTCGACCTCTGTGCTGCTCGACATGAGGCTGGCATTCGCATCCAAATAGGCGCCCAAGCCCTCCATTTTGGCCACCGAGGCGCGTTGCAGGTTGTTGTTGCGTGTCACTTGGCTTGTGTGATTGCTGTTGCTACTGTTGTTGTTGTTGTTATTGCTGCTGTCGCCACCATTGCTCGGTGGTTGCGTTGATGACTTCTTGCGCCGCATTACTTTGCCCGCTGGCAGCTGCTCCTTGACAATGCCATCGCCCTCCAACTGCTGCTCCACTGCCTCCTGCTCCATTTTGTTACCATTCTGATTGTCTGTGATTTGCTCGTCTACAGGCATCTCCGGTTGCTGCTCCACTACCAACTGCTGCTGCTCCTGGCTCACCTTGCCGTTGTCCACGTTGTTGTTATTGGCTTGCAGCTGCTGCTCGCATTCCTCGTCGCTTTGTGCATTTTCTTTGGGCAGCTCCAACGGATGCGTGGCCACTTGTTGCAGTTTCCTGGTCTCAATTTCGTGCGTTTTGGCTTTTGGCATGTCCTTGAGGAAGGGATTGACGCGCGGCTGTCGATTTGGCGGCGAGTTGGAATTGTTTCGCTCGAAATCTATAAGCAATAGACATATATAGTACAGGTGTGTGTAACAGATGTCCGTTCCATGAGATTGATATTGATATTGTGTGATTGATATGTTAAATGAATGTGTAATCCTTGCTGTTGAGTGTTTCGCTTAATTTTGTTTTATAGAACTGAATTTTGTTTAAATACTTGAAGCACTTTTGCACTAATTTTACATTTGAAGAGGGGTTTAAGGAGTTTCAGGATTTTCACAAAAAAATTTCAAAATGGGTTCGAAACGAAACTCGAGTCAATTTAAGCAGCACTTCAAGTGGAATTTTCAAAAAACGAAAGAGAAGCATATGTAGATGTACCCAGCCTAACCAGTTCGTATAAACCTTACTTATGTATATATATATATACTTTGTATGTATATGCTCAGCACTCACCTGGCGTCTCATCAATGCTCATGGAGCGCATGGAGGTAATATCCTCATTGCTTAGATTATTGCAGGATACCGCCTGAGAGCCGTAGCCGCTGCTGGTGGACGAGCTCATGCTGAGCGTGGTCAGACCAGTTAAGTGCTTCATATTCGCATTGGCGCTGGATGTGTAGCTCAAGTAGCTCTGACTGGAATGACTGCTGACGTCCATGAACGAGTCCATGGTCTTGGAGGCAGTTAGCCGGGAGCGTGTGGCCAGGCTTTTGTTCTGCTGCCGCTCCTGCTCATACTCGGCGGCATATTCCGAATCGCTGTAGCTATCCTCGGGCTCCTCATCCAGCGACCGATGGCCGCCCAGCGGCTCCTCGTGCAGCGTAGTCATGCGCATGCCCAGCAGCTTGCTCGTAGCCGGCGATGCTGTATGAATAGAAGAGCAAAGGATTAGTCAGTGTCTGCTGGGATAACTTTAGGTTAGCTACAGCTTAGAGCTAGACAAACCACATACGTTTCGTTGGCGCAATTCTCAATGTGTTCAAGTTCAAATTGAGATTCAAAAATGTTGGACGCGCTGCATTCCACGGGTATCAAGGAAGACAATGATTATGTAGTTTTGTATGTTTAGTTACAATGATTCAAACAAGATTCGATGAGCGATACAATAGATAAACAAAACAAATCAAAACTAAACGAAAAAGAAGAACGTAACGCACTAGCTGAACAACGGGCAACTAGTTCGCCACACAAATGCAACACAAACACTAACTAGATAATAAGAATTACTAAGAATAATAGCTATATATATGGAACTAGGTCAACAAATTGATTGCTCGAAAATCGTGCTATGCGTGCGCTGCTGTGAATGGTGCGCCAAATAGGGGTAAATTGGAAGACACAGAGACAGATATAGAGGGAGTTATTGTGTAGGTGTGAGTGTATAGAATGAATGAGCAAATCGAAATACAATGAATGCAACATATATGATTATATGTAAGATGTTAATAATGTCAAGAGTTGTTGGTGTTAGGATTTGCATGAGAGAGATTTCGATTTGTGGTTGAGGAATGAAAGAAATACAATGAATAATGTATGTAGTACTGTCAAGAGTTTTTTTTGGTTTTTTTTTTTTTTTTTGGTATTTGAATGATACGAGATGTCGTTTTATTTTACTATTTTTGAGGGGAATGAGAGCTAACGTTACAGAACTAACAATAATACTACAAAATTACTAACTAAATTCGTAGTACTAAATACACAACTCCCTGGCGCTAAAATGATGGAAGTTATTATGGGTATTACATATGGTATATGGTACATTAAATGAGTTCAACATTTATGTTTAACTTGTGTTCTTTGCGATCATGGCTGACTGTGCGACTGCATGTGTCTATGTGTGTATGAGTGTGTGTTTGTGTGAACAACAGACAAACTGAAACGCCAACTAACAATTAATGTATTTTCAATCAATCTTATATTTATGCACTTTACATTGGGGCCAGCCTTTACCTGACAGTATAGCGCCTGTGTGTGTTTGAATATATATTTTTGTATATATATTTTTATTTTGAACGATAGTCAAAATTGTTTTTGCAAATTTGTTTCAAGTTGTTGAGAAAGCACAGAAGAGAGTACATTATATGACATATGAAAGTAGAACCAGACATACATACGAGTTATACATAATAAATAGATAGAGATCTGAGCGTGTGTTGGTGTTAAATATGTGAGAGCGTCAAATGATGGATATGTATGCCTGTCTGCATGTATATATGTATGTGGGACAATCAGTATTGATGTAGGTATGTCAATTTATATGATAAGCTCTGGATGAATTGCATGGAGCTCAGGTGAAGAGTAAGAGTAATGTGCATCTGGAACTCGTTGCGAAACAGTTCGAGTGGTTGTGTTACTTGTTGTTGTTTAGAGTTGTTGCTATTGTGTTGCATTGAAGCAAAAGCCAAAAGTTGAACTTTAGAAACAAGTTTGGAAGCATTAATTGCATTTAAATCATTTTTGTTTTGTTTTTTGTTTTTCGTTGCTTGGGCATAATGTATATTAAAAGCAGTTTGGTTTAAAGGATTTATCTTGTTATAGTCAACTGTCAGTACAAGTCAGCTACAAGTTATACGAATACGAATACATAATAGAGTACGCTAGATATATATATATATATGTATATACTTCTTATCAAATCAAGGCTAATTATTACAATTTTCAAAGGGAAATATACAGATATATATTGTATGTACGTAAACAAAGATAAATCCCTTGCTCTAAGGCATGACAGCAACTAGATCGCACTTTAAATTGATTTTGATTTTGGTTTTTTTGAGTTGCTGCGCATAAGCAAAAAATACTATATAGTATATATAGTTTGTTTATAGTTAGAGATTATATGTATGTAGTGATACAAAAATTAGTTTTGATTATATGGTTTTTTTTTTGTAAACGTTTGGAAAAAGTTGCTCAAAATTAAAGGTGAGTTTCGAAATAAAATTGTTGTTTATAGCTTTCGCTATATGCCAGACTGGCATTTCTATATACATACCAATGCCGAAGGCTTTCCCTGGGGAGTCGTCGCTGCTGCCCTTGCCGCCAAAGCTATGCCGATTGCGTATAATGCCACCGTTGCCAACGCCTGCAGCTCCTGCTCCGCCGGCGCCGCTGTGTGCTGCAGAACAAGGCGTGGTCCATTAGTTAAGTAAACAGCATAAATAGATAAGCATATAATATCAAATAATATACCTGGTGTGAATTTGTTGCCCAGCGCTGTGTTGTTGAGATCCGCAAAGGACTCGGAGCGACCCACATTGAGCAGCGACTCCATGGAGGCATCGAAGCGCATGATCTGCATAATTTTATTCATGAGTTTCTTAGCATCACAAATAGCGTGTATTTAATTTAGCATATTCATAACAAATGTTATTTAACAAACGTATATGAAAAGAATGTTGAAAATAAAAAATAAATAAAGTAAAACAAATCAAAAATCATAATGAGAATCAAATTAAGCCAAACACAACTGGCGAACGCGCACAAACAAATCTTGGGAGCAGGAAATACAAATATAAACAAAATACGAAACGAAAACAAATAGAGAGAGATACAAACACACACACACACACGCACACAGAGAGAGAGGCACACACATAGAGATTGCCGAAAGTAGTTGAGGAAAAGTATTGCAATTATCTCTAGAAAGCATAGTTTACATAGTGTTTCGAGTACATTGCACACAGATTACTTACACTCCCGGTTGTGGTGGTTTCTTTGACCGTCTGTGTGCGCAGTGAAAAGCGTTTAGTTTTTTGATGTTGTATACACAGCACAGGGCAGTTAAATATGTACACGCACAAACATATAGATTTTTTTTTTTTTTTTTTTTTTTTAGATAACATCAATATACAATTGCAGTTTGGTTAGGCGCGCCAAATTTTGGTTAGTTTTGAAATTTGATATTTTTAGTGTGCGGTGTGAACAACATAATTTTTGTTGGGTTAGATATATTAGTTAGATTTTTGGTGAAAGCGCATAGAGATTGTGAAAAGAGAAAGAATTGCGGTTTTTAGTCAAATATTTGTAAATTGTACAAGTTAAAATTTTGCTAGCGGCTGCTTGGGGTGGCAAGGTGTAAGCACAAAAGGCACGAGAAAGCTTAGCACTTTGAGCTGTTGCGAATGCTTCTGCTTAGGCGCCATCACATACCTGCGAGAAGTTCGGCACACTGACTGTCTTGCGCATCGAGAGCGGCTGTCCGTGCGCCGTCTCCAGTTCCTTGACGGCCACGCTTTGGCGCAAGCGATCCAAGATCAATATGCTCTCCACAGCCGACACGCCACGCGTGTATTTCTCTGCGAAAATAAAATAAAATATGAATATGAACTTATTCACTCTATAAATGAATTGCTCACCTATATAGGTCTCGCCATCGCAAGCGGAACAGTCATCGCCACTAGCTGCTAGCTGTGCGAGTGATTCGCGATCCTCCAGCTCCTCAGAGGCCTTGGGTATATTTGACACCACTTCGTAGGTGACGCCGCTCTGCCAAATCGCATTCTCGCCGCGCACCAGCCGGAACTTCTTCAGTCGGTCGGTTAGAGTCTGTCCTTTTTTGATGTTTATGCTGAGACGCTTGCGCAGCACCAGATCCATGGGCGCCGGATGCGATAGACGCACTGTGGTGCGCAATATTAGATAGATGCGTTCGTTGGCTTCGGTCACGCGGTTCAGCGCTTGACTGTCGTGCATGGACGAGTCCCAGCTGGCCACGCAGCACACATCCTTGTCGAGATGCTGCAGAATTTGCAGGGTATAGAATCTGTGGCCATGCTCCTTGGAGAGAATGGAATTGATGCCCGCTATGGACAGCTCATCGTTTGTATTTTGCGCGGAGAGATCATCGCCGTTTAGATTGAGAAACAGCACGGGCACATGCGGCTCCATGCCAGCGGGTGGATCCCAGGAGGCGGGAGCGCCTGGTATGCCTGATCCAGGTGCCGGCACCAGCACGGCATTGCGCTCCTCGGTCAGCGAGACCCACTGATGCACCAGGCTAAGCTCGCGTTCGCGTTCCTGCTCGTTCTTCTCCTCCTTCTTGATAAGCATCTGTATTTGCTGATCCAAGTATTGGCGACGGCGACCCAGCGCCTCGCTCCACTTTTCGCGCAGCACTGTCAGATCCTCCTCCTGGTAGGAGTCCAGCGGTCGCTGTAACCGTGAACGCACAGTCACACTGCCGATGGCCACGTTGACTATCGACTGACAGATGATGGGCAATGTGCCAGAGTTCTGCACTGGCTTGACCCGCACATTGACACGACGCTGCTGACCCTGGCGCAGCTGGTAGATGCCTCCGGTGAGAACCTCATTGCGGTTGGTAACCTCCACGGGTGAGTACTCGCCGTTGTCGTTTAGCTCGTGTATTTCCACCCACAGCTCGATTTTACGCGAGAGTTCCGCCCAGCGATCGACAAGGGATCGTGCCTTGGCCTGTTGCTGCTCTACCTCCCAGCCCTTGGACTTGGAGAAGCCAGCACTACGATGTCCCCAGACCTCAATGGAAAGTGCGCCCTCGATGCAATGCTCCAAGAACTCCTCGTTGATGTTAACCGTGAAGTCTTTAGTGTGCTCGAATTTGAATACCATATTCTGGTCATGCGTTGTCGATTCGGCATTGATCACAGGCACCACCACCTCCTGGTGGCCCCAGAACGTGTACTGGCAAAAGACAAAGTTGGATAGCGACAGCGGCAGTCCGGAGGCGCATTTGATGGTCACTCGGCAAGTGATTTGATTGGCCATCGGATCCACGGGATCATCGTATTCATCTCGCGAATCTGCCGACGAGGTCTCCGACACCGATTCGCACATCCGATCCTGCGGCATTTGGCCAGCAACACGTTGAATTTCCACCTGCAGACGACCTGCCACCTCGCCCTGTTGACTAATGATGGGCGTATGATAGTCCAGCTTGACATCGTGGAACAGCACTTCCAAGTAGACATTGGCCACACCAATGAGATTGTGATTCTCCTGCGACTCGTAGAACGGATCCTGTGGCTTGCCGCTGTCCTCGTCCTGCAAATGCAACACAGCATAAGTTTAAAGTATATACGTCAATGGACTTCGATTGGTTATGTTATGACTAGATTGTGTGTTTCATGGAGTGGGGACTTATAAATTACCTTGTCATCGAATTCATCATCTGAGAATGTCTCGATAAGGGGCTGTATCAAGGGTTAATTGAATGCGTGTGCGAATTATACACAAAGTTTCATGGTTAGTACGAGAGACAAAAAAATGGAAAATGTGATGCAGTAAATGAATAGCCACGCACCAGTCCGTTAAGTATGCGCTCCTTGTGCTCCTGGTACATCTCACGCATGTCTATCAGTTTGTTCTCCAGCTTCTCCATGCTCCAGATTTGGCTGCCCGAATTTGTGCGCTTCACCAGAATTGCGGGTTCGCTGACAAAGGCTCCACGCCGTCGATTTGGACTCAAATTTGCTGGCGGAATTTGCAAGGTCACCGAGAATTTGGTTTTCTTCTCCATTTCCTCGGCCAGAAAGTTGGCCTCCTGCACCAGCGAATTGGCTCGCATAATGTCGGTTTTTAGCTGACCCAACGAACGTCTGAACATTTCATCACGTTCCTAAATGCAGAGATAATTTGTAGTCATACACATACATATATCGAAGTTTATTTTCAACTCTTACCTGTGCCCATTTCTCCACTCTCATTTGCGAGGTGGGCGTATTGGGCGTTACCTTGCCCATGCGTAGCGGATCGTAGGGCGCATACGGTGCGTAAGGTGTGCTGGGCGAGAGTATATTACGCAATTGCTGGAATTGACGTTCGTACTCCTGTCGCTGTTTCTCCAGCGCCACCTGTTTGTCTTCCTCATGCTGCCGCTCGAGGCGTGCAATTGCCGTCTGTATGGGATCATTGCTCAGCTCATTCTGCATTATCTCATCGCGTGCAAAATTGTAATCGATGAGCTGCGCTGGTGTCTGTGGCTCCGAGGCGCACATGCTGGTATTATTGCCGATCCGTGGCGAGTTGACTCGGAAAAAGTGGTGATTGCCCCACAAAATACGATCACCATTCTGCAGGGGCGTCTTCTCCACTACAGCAGATCCATTAACAAAGCAGCGAGCACCCTGCACGGGCTCCATAAACAAGCCGCTGTCTTCGATGGTGATCACACAATGCTCCGGCTGTATGCCAAGGCCCGACAGCTGTATATCCGGTTGCTGGCCACTGATGCTGCGACCGCCAATTAGCGTGCGTTCCTGGAATGAATTAAAGGCTTAAGTGGACTTTCAAATATTAAGGCAAGTAGAGCCTACCTTCAGGTAGTAAACTAAGAGTTCGTTGAGGGACGGATCTGCGTTTAAATTGACCAAGTAGTACTTGTTCTTCTCGACCTTAATGCCACTGGCCTGCACACTGATACCCATTTGCTCCAGCGCCTGCTGTCGCTCGTTTTGTATGCGCTCCGTTTTCACCAGTTTCTCCTCCCAGGTTTGCGAGATTTGCTTCATCAAATTCTCACTCTCAGCCAACTTGTCTTGGACATCACCCACGGGCGAACCTGTGGCATGCTTCAGCATGCTACGCAACGTCTCCACCTCGTGCCGCAATTCCCGAATAATACGTGCATTGGGATCCTCATTGACCACAGCATGGTTGACAATGCGCTTGGCTCGATCCGCATATCGCAGTGTGGACAGTGTCTCCTCGTAGTTGTCTGCCGAGGGGGAAATGGTGGCCACCATAACTGTTTTGGAATTGCCGCCGAGGTTGTCTTTCAGCAACCAGGTCAGCACGGAATCTCGATAGGGCACAAATTTATCGTTGCCGCCTTTCTTGCCGTTGGTTTGATCGGCCAGCTTGGAAATGACCAGACCCAGGGTGGTCAGGGATCTGGAAGAACATATAGGAACAGAGTTTACAAAGATAGATAAAGAGATCATTATAGCTATAACTCACTTGTTGATATTGGAGCCTTCCTTGAGTCGATCACCAACGGCGCCCGTTTTGACCGCACGCTCGGAACCAGCCAAATCGACCAGAGACATGCGCGAGACTTTCTCTCCACTGACGCCGGTTGTCTGGTCGGTGAGTATTTGTGTTAGCACGACTGAGAAGACGGCATGGGAACGCGATGATTCG